CCACACACCTGCAGTGGCCCAAGCCAGAAGTGGGGGGAGGGGCGCTAGAGCATGCCTCCCAGCCTGTTGGCCACTGCCAAAGGGAAAGGAGGGAAGCTGGGAGAGCAGCCCTCCGAGGTTTCCCCACCTTGAGCAGAGGTGGGCCTGGCCAGGTGGGGGGGGGCGCTGATAAGGCCCTGGCTAGCCCGCTGAGGATGACTGGAGGGGAGGGGTTTAAACCTCCACCCTGGCCCACACTGAGCCTAGCCAGGGTCTGCCTGGCAGGAGAGGAGGAGGCAACCCCTCCCAGGCTTTTCCCCTGCTAGAGCAGGGATCTGGCCTGGCCCCACAGGCTGAAGCAGGATGGGAGGTTGAAACCACCTCCCTAGCCCTCACCAGAGTCCAGCCAGAGTCTTCTTGTCAGGGGGAGCCAACCCCTCCTCCCTCCATGAGTGAGGGCTATGGCCAGGCCCTGGCCATGGCCTGCACACTGAGGGAGGGAGGGGGGTGTAAACCCCCTCCCTGTCCCACACAGAATCCCAGCCAGGGTCTGCCTGGGAGGGGGCGGGGGCAGGAGGGGTTGAGCAGTGTCTCCTAGCCCTCCCCCCCCACCCCGCACCCCACTGGAACAGAGAATGGGGGATGTGGCCAGGCCCCAACTTGGGGCTGGCAGCTGAGGCAGAGGGTGGGGGGGGGTTTCCAGCCCCCTGCATGGCCCGTGCAGGTCCCCAGCTGGGGTCTGCCAGGAGGGGGAAGCAGCCCCTCCCAGGCTTTCCTTGAGTCGGGGGAGCCTGGGAGAGGGACTGTTGTCCCCCCTCCCAGCAGCATCTCTTGTGCAGGCTAGGGAGGGGGTTGAAACCCCCCTATTCCGCCTCTCCACTTGAGCAGGGGGAAAGCCTGGAAGGGGCTTCTCTTCCCCCTCCCTTCCCCCCAGCAGACCCCAACTGGGTGTCCCATATGGACCAGGGAGGGGGTTTAAACCCCTCTCCACCTCAGCTTACTGGCCTACGGCCAGGTCCTGGCCATGCCACTCAAGCAGAGAGTGGGAGGGAAAAATCCTGGGAGGGGTTACCTTCCCACAGCTAGGCATACTCCAGTTGCAGTCTGGTGTGGGCCAGGGAGGGGGTTTCACTCCACACCCCCCCACCCCCCGCCTCAGCCTGCAGGTCTGAGCTAAGGCCTGGCCATTCCCCCTGCTTGAGTGGGGAGGTGGGGGAAAAGCCTGGGAAGGGCTGCTCCTCCCCCC